GACAGCACTAATATATATATATATATATATATATATATATATAAATACACTTTTAAATATTAAAATACCTCTTCTATTTTTGCTGATTTGGTGCTCAGGAAACATTTCTTATTATTATCAGTGTAGAAAACGAAAATGTAGGGGAAAAAATGTTTTTGCTGCTTAATAACCATGATACAGTAGTAGTTTATCATTTGGAATTTGGAACAGTTTGGAATAAGTAAGATGAAAAAAATACTTTTAATCAACAAGCATGCATAAAATTGACAGTAAAGACAATGTTACATACATTTCTATTTCAAATAAATGTTGTTCTTTTGAGCTTTCGATTAATCAGAGAACACTGTAAAAAGCATTACGCATAAGAAACCATTTTCAAATACATTTAAAAATCTTAACGATTCTTTCAAACTTTTGACTGATATGCACAAATTTTTGTTTAACTTTTTTAATGTACATTTAACTGATGATCTTCTTTTTTCCCCCCCTCATTTTATGTGCTTGTCTATTTAGTTGGCGAGTATCACAAAAGTAAAGACATTTTGCATAAACAAAATGAAGCCTATGTAAAAGGGCCATTAATTGTTTTTGTATTGTGAAATGACGACTACAACTGAAAAAACAGGCTTCACTTTCTTTATTCAAAATATACATATTTTCCCAATTGATTTTGGGGTTAAATATGCCTGGACATGTTCTGGACAGTTTTAAATTCACCCATTTTTGTCCATCTTGGCTGTTCTAGATTGGTTGTTTTTAAATAAATAGTCTTCGTATAACAAATCCACATACGAGTTTACATTTTGCCAGTGTATTATGATTCAGCACAGTGTAGCATTTCTGAGAAAATTTGTGGTTGTTATAAATTATGTGACCTGTCACTTTGTGTTCACTCTGTCCAGATTCCAAAAACAAAAGCATGTTTTTACAGCTGCCGTGACTCTAGATGTTAACATTTACCCCTCTCTGTAACTTTCTCTTGAAAATACAGTGAATTCATCTCTCTTGCATTAGCTTCACTGAAGCCCTGTGTTTTAATGGAAAAATTGGCAGAGAAGCTTTGTGTTACACAGTTATTTTGTCTCGGCTATCTTTCTCATTTGTCAGACAACATTGACACTGCTGCTTGTAGCAACAGTAGTATGATAATGTAATTGGATACACCTTAGTGCATTGAATAATAATGAGTTCTCTAAGGAGAGATGGTTTACTTTAAGACACAAAGTAGCGCTTGGTTGGTTTTTAAAGGTCACATATTTAAACACCTTTCTGGAGTTTTATTTTAAGTCTTGATGTCCTTAAGAATATATATTTGCGGTATAAGTACCAAAAACCATCTCAATATATTTTTACAGCTCCTCTTTAATATTCATGAGCCTCTCTTCTGATTGGCCTGTTGTTTTCTGAGTGACGCCCGGCTCACAGCGCTAGCTGGAGGCAGCAAAACAAAGGGGAAACTGGAGGCGGCCCATTCAAACCAGCGCAGATTCGGCTACATAAGGAGCTTCAAATATCATCTTGTTGTGATGTTGGGTGCCAGAATCGATGTAATACAGCCTCAAATTAGAAATTTGATCACATATCTGCTGCCACTGCCAGACAAAAAACCGACGACAGCTGTGGTTAAACGTGATAAAACGAGCAGACTGGACAGAAACGATCGTCAAAAATGCTTGCGTTTGCAGCGCACACTTCTTATAAGAAAAGGTCCAATAAAGTATTGTCTTATGTTGTTATTTTTTGCCATATGTCTATGTTTCTTGCATCTCACAACTATGTTGTGTATGAAATAATGTCTGTGTGCATGTGTGTAAAACAACAAACTGACGATTTATATATAATCATTTGTAATTGTATATACATTGTTGTGATTAATTGTGGCGGGGACAAAAATGTAGCTGTAAAAATAGTTTCCTGCTGAAATTGAAATGTATATACATCTTCATCATGACTAGATTGACACGGTGAGTTTGTCTTTACTATACACGTTAGATGTGATCCACCTCATAGTAACAATCCTGTCAGATCGTCCATTCTTTGAGTGAGAGTGACACGTGTTTTAGTGTTGTTGTTGCTCAGCAATGGCATGGACGTGATGTTGTCTGGGGGTTTGGCAAAAGGAGAGTGGGACTGTGGGCGGTGCTCGGGGTGGTGACTGAAGGCGGTGACTGAGTAGTTCTGATGTCAACTTTTTACGGAAGTCACAATGGTTTGTGAAAAATCACAGCTACTTTATGCAGGCTGTGTGCATTTTACTGTGGACTGACTGTTTTGAAACTTATATGGTAGTTAAATAGCCCCTAGACCTCAGTAAACGTGAAAAAAGCCAGGAAATTTCAGTTTTGACAATATGGGACCTTTAATAGTCTTGGATTATTCAATGGATTATTTTGCTTTTTAAAGAATAGGTTTTATGTCTCCATAATAAAGCATTTAATTTGTGTTTTGTTTCTTCTAGTGGGTCCGCTTCGGGTTGAGTTTTCTGACCCGGTCACCTTAGACCTGGTGAGGTCAGAGAACCCAGTGTTGCAGCCCGGTGGACGGTTTAAACCCACAGAATGCATCGCCCAGCAGAAGGTGGCAATCATCATCCCCTTCAGGCACCGCGATGAGCACCTGAAGTACTGGCTGTATTATCTACATCCCATCCTACAGCGCCAGCAACTGGACTATGGCATCTATGTCATCAATCAGGTTTGTCATTAGTGCAATAACACTTTTGCAGTCTTTGACCTGAGAGTTCTTAATCTGCAATTGCAGAAATGTTCAAAGGCCTGTGGTGCAGTCTGATGTTATCATTGAGTTGGAGGTTAAATATCTCTGCTTGTTTGTTGAAATAGGCATTTATTTCCTCTTAAATTGAAGCCTGATCAGATGCAAGTGTATAATGTGGCTTTACCCATTGGTCTCTTGAAAACTCTTCAAAGTAGATGGGATTAACATAACCATGCGAAGAGCTTTGTTTAGAAATGTCATTTGATGGTTCAGATAAAGCAAGGCAAACATCAGCGGCTGCTTGACTTTATTTAAATGCTCTTCTCAGTTTGTAAAGTATACTGTATCTTGAAATATTTGAGCTCAGTGTTTGCTATCAGTGATGATGAGTTCCTCTAAAAGCTGTGTTTTGTGATATCCTCCTTCTTTTAATCTACATTGTCTACTCCCTTTTGTTATCTGGAATGTAAACTCTCTGTTACGCGGGGCGTGCTGGGGCAAGAAGTTTGGCATGTGTTTTGCTAAGTCCTCTTTTCTCTTTCATTGGCCATTTTGAGTGATGTAGCTCACAAACATGGTTGTTCACAATTTCAAACATGCTTGTAATTAAAATGTATACTGGTTAACTCATACTGTACGGAAGTACCAGTATTTTTGACATCCCTACATCGAGGAAGACATTTACATTTACTACTGTGGCAGAAACTTTTATCCAAAGCGAGGAACAAATGAGGAACATTATGCAGTACACCGCACCAAACTTCATTGGTGGTAAGAGTAGAACCAAAGCTGATTGAGAAGTCCCAGTATCCAGATTAGTGAATGAATAGTGTTCTTTTCTGTGGACTCAAACATTTGCATTTGATCAGCATAGTCTTACCACATCAAAACTAAAATCCAACTGAACACCTTTTTATTTCTGAATTATTAGTATTTTTTTATTTTGTAAATTGAATTTATTTAGATGTCAATTTTTGCATAGGTGATTTTAGAAATCCATCTAGCTACTACAGCAAAAACGAATATCCAACTGAACACCTTTTTAAACTTTGTTTACATTAAATAAGTAAATTTCCATAAATGATTCTCAACATCAATTTAACTCCTACAGCAAACACTAATATCCTATTGAACGCCTTTCCTCCATTATTTTATTAAAATTTTGGTATTTTTAATTTAGTAAATACATTTTATTTAGCCTACAAGTAAACTTCCATTATCTGTTTGGTAAATAAATGTATATTAATTGTTTAAAATAAGTCACTCATTTTAATTGGTAACCCTTAATAATAAGGTTCCATTTGTTAACATTATAACATAACATTATTAACTAACAATGAAAAATACCTCTAAAGCATTTGTTCATTTTTTTATGTTGATTCCAACATAAACTAATACATTATTAAAATCTTTAATGGGCCTGAGCTAATGTGGACTAACAATGAACAGCTGTAGTTTTTACGGACATTAAGACAGATTAATATATATATACTGTAGCAAATACATTGCTCATTGTAAGTTAATTTTAGTTAATTAATTAAATATTATTAACAAATTGAACCTTATAGTAAAGTGTTACCTTTTAATTGATATAAAATGCATAAATACTGATTTGGTGCTGTGTAAGTTTGATAATTACAAGCATGCTTGTAAGGAAAATTGATACTGGTTAACTGATACTGCACAAAAGTACTTTTGACATCCCTACATAGAGGAAGACATGCCATGTACATTTACATTTAATATTGTAGCAGATGCTTTTATCCAAAGCAACTTACAAATGAGAAACATGGCAGGCCATTATGCAGTACACAGCGTCAAGCTTCATGCGTAAGAGCAGAACAAAATAGTGTGAATAGTGTTTTTTACATGAATTTACATTTGATCACTATAATATTAAATAGCTTGTTGCATCCTTGAGTTTGGGAACTCTTCAGCTATTCCTCGCCATCAGAAAAAATACAGCTGATCAGTGCTAAACTGAGGTACATTACACAGTAGTTTCCCCAGACTGTGGTAGAGACAGCTGCTGTTTGAGGCTGGGCGTCCTTTCAAAAAAAGTTGAGCGGCCTGTTGTCGTCATTCAGTAAATGCCCATGACATTACAGACTGGAACGAGGTGAGACGCAGTGCTGCAGTTCTTGTCTCTCCTTTATTTGGGACTCTCAGAGAACAGATGTCTTCATCGAATCCATTTCAAACAGCCAGTTATCAGTGGTTTGGGAATTTTCCAAGTAAACGAAAAGACTAATGTGTATCGTTCAGTGCGGCTTTGCACTAAAAGCATCCAAATGTGCTCGCCAAGAAGGTCTTGGACCTGTCAGCAGTCTTCTCTGATTGTGTCTTCTCTAAAGTGTTACTTGATCGTCCTTACTAATTATTCTCTTGCTCTCTTTGCCACCCCCTTCTTTTCTCTGCACCTTGCATTTATTTTTTCACCCTTCCATCCTACATTCCTTCCCTTCTTCCTGTTCAAACCGAACCCCTTTTATGAGCATCAGAGGCCCTTGCGCTTGGGAAAAGGTGAGACGTCTGCTTGCTCTTTCTCTGGCCAATCACACTACGCTTCACTGGCTGCGTCTGACGAATGGTAATGTTGGCTTCTTGATTATCTGTTTACTATTTGTGGGTTACCATTTCCTTCCTTATTTTCTCTCTCTCTTTCTCTGCCCTCTGTCTCTCACTCTCTCAAGTTCCTCATTTTCCCATGGATGGCAGTTCTGTGCCAAAAATAGCTATGTTTTGTCTTGCAAAAGTGTAATTTGATCACTTCATCTAATCTTTTTAGAAGACGTGTGCCTTTTTAAAAGTTATCTATTTATTTACTGCTGAAAAGTAATCCAAAAATGGCAGTTTTATAATTATTTACTCACCCTTATGACATATGCTGCTAATTTTTCTGTTGAACACAATGAAGTTAAATATAATGAGGGTGAGTCTTTTTTTTTTTTAGTTGATTAGCTTTTATTTATTTTCTCTACTGTCCTATTTTCAGAAGTTTGCATCTGTCTGTGCTATTTATATGAACAATGAAGCTCTTCTTCACTTTCAGTTCTTTGTGTTTTGATTCCTCAAGGGTCTTAATCCTTTTGTCTACTTTTTTTTTTACTTCCTAAAATGTGAATGAATCCTCCAGTGCCACGTTGCAGGCCGACGATCAGATCTGGTTGTTGACATGTGAGAACTCTGCTTTATGTCAACTCAAAAGATGGCCGAAGAACAGGACGATCTGGTTCTTCAAAGCCAAGTCTCGCTCTGAATGCGCAGACCACATCTTCTGAATCAATCATGGATGACGTCTGCTCCACTAGAACAAGCGCACCTCAGTTCTTTCAGTGCAGCTTGTGTGAGTTTGCTGTGTGTTAAAAAAGAGAGGATTGCTACTCTCTCTGTTGGGTGCAAGGGGGTTAACAGATAGCTCTGGGCTCCTGAGGCTCCGCCGTCATTAAATTTCATTACGCAAGCTCAAGTGATGCTCTTCAGAGGGAGGAAAGGTGGGCTTCAGACAGGGAGCACATCCATTAATCATGAGCCAAAGGCCCAAAGCCAGCGGAAAGATTTGAATGATAGTTGGAAATGAGTCACCTTGGAATGTCAAATTTGGGCTTTCATGGATCTTCTTTGCAAAAATGTACCATGGTAACCATAGATACCACCACTGAAAACACAAAGGAACGTTTTATTACTGTGAAACAGGGCTTCCCAAACTTTTTTCTCACAAATATTTGCATGAAGTTCCCTTGAGTTAATATTTCAGTAATTTAGCATGGTTCTCACGGCTCTTTTATTTTTAATATTTTAATTTTACATTTTACAATATAATTAAATTATTTTTGTCATCAATTTGCAAACCCCAGTTTAGGAAACCCAGTTGTAAAATTAATATTTATAATTAGCCTTAGATCTTCTACAGCCACAGAGGAAGAAGCTCAAAGTTGTCTTTCTTTCTTTCTTTCTTTTTGGCAGTGGTGGCAAATACCACATAATACCACATTGGCTTTATCGTAGTAACAATAAATAGCATATTTAGCTAAAATTCATTAGTTACTGTAGTCAGACATGTCTTTTCTGTCGTGCAAGGAATTGTATGAAATTCATGTCAACTTCCACACAAAGTAGTTTTTATACAGTAAAAAAAGTTTTTATTCTTATTGAACTAGTAGGATTTTTGTTACGAATGATGAAATATAAATATTAATATTAAAATAGACCAATATAATACTTTCTGACCAAATTCTAATAATGGGCAATTATGTTGTTTAATAATCCAATTTTTAAATATGTGTTGTTGTATTTTTTTAATTTTAAGCATCATTTGTATAATCAACACAAACTCAGCACACCTGAAAAAACTGATAGGTGCGTAGGAAAAAAGGTCCAACAAAACTGTCAAGTCCAAAATATAAAAAGATGCAATCCCACACACTATCAATTCTGGCTAAATATTGAAGTTTATTAACAAAAGCAGCGTTTCGGCCCACTGATCATTTGCATGACAATTCTAATTTGATTGTATTTGATTTACAGTAGGAAGGATGGCTTTTTGTTTTACTACTTTTAATTAATGGATAATTTTATAAGGAAGTGTATATTGTAATTAAATAATTTTCTTTGATATTATTTCCCTTCAATATCAGCCCAATCTGAATGTTACAGATCATGTATTCTTGCTTTTTGTGAAAGTGTGTGTTACGGATGTTCTGTGTTTGTCTGTTGTCTCATTCATGTCTCCTGCCACCTGCCAGCCATGCTGTGAAAGATTGAACAGATAGCAGTGACGTGCTCCCATACAGCAAGCACAAGTGCGCTGATTTTATCAGTTTAAACATACCTACCCGCTCTAGCAAAGACTCTATGGCACAAAATGTCATGCTACACATCACACTGCTTTATAGACATTTGAACACATTTCTTCCACCATCATTTCATACGTTTCTATTTCATTTGTATAAAATGTGTATTTTTCAGCTTTGTCTCATCCTCTCTCTCCTTAATGACAGGACGGCGAGGATACGTTCAACCGTGCCAAACTCCTCAACATTGGTTACGCTGAGGCTCTGAAGGAGTATGACTACGATTGTTTTGTCTTCAGTGACGTGGACCTCATTCCAATGGATGACCGCAACTTCTACAAGTGCTATAATCAGCCCAGGCATCTGTCTGTGTCTATGGACAAGTTTGGATTCAGGTATTTCTGGTCCTTGTTGACTGTTGTCTCATGTCGCGGCTTAATGGTGTATTTTCAGCCACCAGACAGTATATATTTATATTTCTATGGATAACAAATTAAATACACAGGCTAGTATGGAACAAACATGGTTTGTTAGAACATGGTATCAAGGTATTCTCTGAATTTCCTAGGAGTATTATGTTGGCTCAATGTGCAAATTTAGATGCTGCAGTGTATATACATGAATATCAGCGGGGAGGACTGCATTACAGTATTTAAATGAGAATTACATGTTGGGACTGATTGTAGCTCATCTGTTTAGATCTTAGAGTCTCAAGTACTGTTTACACCTGGTCACTTCATGCGTTTTCTCTGAAAAGACCAGGTGTAAATATCCTCCAAAACGGATCGCTCAAATCACTTAAGGCGGTGGTCTGGGACACATTCCAGACAAAACTGGACAAGTGTAAATGCATCTGGTTGTTGA